GGTTTTTAAGAGTTAAAAATCAGATCTCTTTTAAAACAGAAAATTTTAAAATATCTGTGGGTTACAACACCTGACAACAACTCTAATTAAACACAATACTCCCTGCCCCCCAGATTACTAAATGTATTATTTCAACTTGGAATAGGAAAATTTAAATTATACTATATATATATATATTACTACACCATTTTAACTGTCATGTTTGCTAGGAGAATTATGAAATTAAAACCAAATTTTACATTCAAGGGACTAATGGTAAATGCTCTTTCATTGTTGAAGAGTCCATCCTAGTCTTTGTTGTTTTCTCCTCCCCTATTTCAAAGCCATGTCCAAAGGCCAAGAGTCAATCCATTTACCTGAAATGAACAGTCAGCAGGTACTGGTCCTACCCAGGGGTCTTCTAACAAGCCCAGTAGTCAAAGGGGCGGGGGCGTTTATAAGAACATGATTTAGAACACTTTAGAATGCAAAGTGTGTACTGAAGCATGGCCAGCATGCAGGCAAACTTCTTGTATTTGTTCAAATGAAGGTAAAATAGACCCCTCCCCCTGAACCCCAAACTTAATATTAACAGAAGCTGCATAATTAGAACTACTTTTGCTGCTTATTTCACATAAACTGATTTTTAAGTTTTCTCACAAAAAAAGAAACTCTACAGCCAATAATATCTCGGATTCCAGTCACCCCCGATTGTTTCTTCTTTCAAAGCCATTATTAGTAAAGAATGTTTTGAAATACAGAAAAATATTTTTTTCCCTCAAAATCTGCATTTTGTACTTAGCATGATACAATTTCTAATTATTTTTCGAATGCAGAAAGAACTCATGTCTGGGTACTACTTGGTATTTTTTCAGATACTAAGCAATACCAACAGAATTCATAAATACGATTTTCTGACATTGGCAGTAAGGTCTGCTAAATATTCACAAAATACCAACAACTCTTCTTTCAAGTATAAAAGATGGATGAGAATAAGAAGTTATGATTAGTTCTTCATTACAAATACAAATTTAAATCTTGATTTTTTTTTTTTGGCCAACATTTGAAATAGTCAAATTTTACTCGACTTTCAAATCAAAATAAACAAACAAAAACGCTAGTGAAAATTACCCAACTGGCAACAAGTCCCATATTCCAATGTTATTTTTAACTCAACAATTACAACCTACTGCCAGTGATTATTTATATGCATCTGCTTGTCTTATTAAAGAAGCACTGGTCAGTTATATGTAAGAATAATTTGCAACAACGGTACTTGGCACTGGGTTCCTTAGTGCTTCCGGAATAAACAGAAGCACTTAGAAAAGACCAGCTCTTGAGCATTTTTTTTAACCTGTAATTTGAATTTCTAGAAGTATTTTTTAAATGTTTCTGTTCCATGTTTCTGTTCCATTGATAAGATTCTAGGGAGTCTAGTCCTAGAAGACATAGCTGATTTTAAAAAACAAATAAATCTCTAAGCCACATGGTAATGGAATACTACACTACACTTGCTTTTTATATCATATGGAGACACTT